TAGAAGGCATGTTAAAAATAGGTAATGCATAAGTTCGTGGCTTATGAAGCATTGACAAAATTCTTAAGATGCATTAAAAAGATGATAAATTAGTAACCTGAATGACATGTTAAACATATATTAAATGAAATATATACCAGGACAAAGATATTACTTATAGATAGAAAGGGGTAGTCATAGTTATGATCATGCCTTTCTTAGCAGACCTTTTTAGATATCATCTTTAAGTTCACCATTCATTGATGACATTCAATATGGTCCTATTCTAACCTCATATTTTCTGTGTCCCTGAAATGTAGATAAAATCCATAGTGGTTGAGGATGTTAATTGGAAACATACAGCTTTACTCCTGTATCTCTCTGATAGAGTAAGTCTGTGTTCTGGCCCTGCATAACTTCCATCTATGCATTTCATCTTTATCCAAACCTCAACTTTGGTCCTCATCACCGCAGCATCAGCAAAGAAAGTTGATGTGGCAAAAACAGGGAGAGATAGGAAGGGAAACAGGTGTGTTATATGAACATTATCATCCAAGATTTGGGTGGTGAGATCCTTTCACATGCTTGTATCCTATCCTGTGTGTTGACTTGACACCCCATCTCTTTTCTTTTGCTTCTTATTAAGTTGATTTAATAAGCCATGTTATATGACCACCTTAATTTGGTCTGTAAACATTTCTGTTCTAAAACTTCTATGATAGTAATCAAAGGCTACCATCTCATCAAGGCAATTTCTCACACATAGTTACCATAATAACAAAACCAATGATATTTAAACCAATGATTAGAGCCATCTATTGGTACAGTTGATATATTTCAGAGTGCTTCTGAAAACTAATTTTGATAAATATTTTGAAGAAACGTTTAGTTAAAAATCCAATAAAAAGTGATCATAGGAGTAAATACACATATAAACCACAGAATAAAGTTATGTAAATTATCAAAGCATTTCATGATTTGTGCAGAGTTTTCATATACATGTGTGTCGTAATGTACATATGGACATACATTAGGACATATGTGTCCTAATGTACATATATATGTATACATACACACATATATGCAAGTTTGTAGATTTTGATACTAGCAAGAATTTAAAACCATGAAATGTCACTTAAAATTATTTTTGACCAAGATAAATTCAACAAACATTTATTGAGGACCTACTATTTGCTAGCCATAGAGTCAAAATCAATACCAGTTTAATTTTGACTATTGACATAGACATGTTATTGGTTTACAGACTTAAGTTATCACATGTTGTAAAAATGCACAAGTTTTAATCACAGAACTAATTCAAGAAAGTGTATTTGCCATGTGTCAGCAAGTATATGTGAAGAAAAGTATTATTATAAAACCCCTTTTTACAATTTGTCATTGAAATAAATGCTGACAAAATCCTTTCATATTGTATACATTTATAATATACTCTCAGATTATAAATCTCAGTAAGGTTATTAAAGATTTCTTTGAACTAGATTTTCATTGACAAGGTCAACCTTAAAAGACTGTTAAGGAGTTAGTATTATTAGCACATGAACTCACCTCTTGGTTTTGTGTAAAGCCCTTCCGCCCCCTACTAAGTCCCAATGTACTTAAGATTACAAGCAATTTTAAACATATTAAAAATTAAGTACATTATCACTGTTCTTAATTCATCTCCAGCTTGAAACTAGGTTTCCTTTCTGCTTCTTTGCCATCATTGACACTTCAGTTCTAAAAACAGCCATCCTCCCTACTGGGAACCAGTCAGAATCTATCGGCTACTAGTTCTGCTATGCCAAACCTGCAGCAATGCTCTGCCAGCCTTTTGTCAGTCACTTTATTCAAATAACCCATGTTTGTAGCGGTGCTGCCATGCCCATGGCAGTTTCATTACAAAAATGCAGGAAAATCAGGAAGCAGAAATCTAAGCAGACTGATGAGTTTCCTCCCTGGTGGTAGCTAAAATTACCCGGAAGCAAACAAAATTGGACTGAGAGATATTGCCAATGACTTCTTCCCTCATAAACTCTTGTTTAAGAAGCAGTGGAGTGTGGTTGCCAATTTAGAGGCAGCAAAGGGTGGGGGTGTGTATTCAAGCCAGACTATCTGACTTCAAATCCTTGATGGGCCAATCAATTGCCATGTGACCTTAGGCAACCTCTCCGGCCCTCAGTTTTGGAGACAATAATAGCTCATATCTCATAGCATTGCTGTGCGGTTTCAATAAGTTAACATTCATGCTTGTTAGCACAGCATTAGGGACACATTATAGAGAAGTTAATAGCTAATATTACTGCACTTCTTATGAAGCAGCAACTTGAGAAGCTTTTGAAAACTTAAGTAATCTTTAAGAGCAAGAGTATTCCTCTATTGTCAGGGCCACCAAAGCAAACAAGTAAAACAAGGTGAACTGCAACTTTGAGGTAAAGCTGCATGTCAGGCACATTTTACCCAAAATGGAAATTTCAGGGGTCTCTTGTGGGCCACATTTTCCAAAGACCAGAGTATCAACTTGTTCTTGGCCAGGGGTTTAATCTTAGGCAAACCACAAATAAGGCCATAATCATGCACTTTGAACCCTGAATCAGCTGAGCTAACTTTTAACTTCTTCCATGTTGTCTCAAAAGCCATAGAAAACATGTATTAGAAATTCATTTTAAAGATAAATAACTGCCCAATTGGCAAACATTGTCTTTGGAAAAATCATACAATAAAATTTAATTAAACTGTAATTTTATTGTTTATTCTTTGAATTCAAGGAGATTATTATTGTGGGTACTTCTGTGAGGTTTAGTTAATTTTTACTTCTTCCCACATTGTAATTGTATTAGTTATCTTGAGGCAGTTTAAAATTATTTCATCAATCTTGGTCTTTGCTTTTAATTTATGCGGTAGAATTTACTTGTTCAATGTTGTGAGTAATTTTCAATATCTTGCCAAACAGCCTGTGGCAACTAGAAATTCAAGTTGCATATATTAGACTTTCGTGTTTGAGTGCAATGCAACAAAAACAAATGCTGCAACTTCATTGAACTGTGGCACTCATAACTAAGCTCAAAATACTTTTTAAAATCTACATTTAAGAAAACAAATGTGACCTACATATTTGGGAGGCAAGTAGTAGAGCAAAGCACATTTTATGGCTATAATAATTTTCAGTTTCACTTTATTGTTATGTTATTCTATCTTCCTAATCTGGCTAAATACTTTATATATCACTCAGCCGATCTTATTCTAGAATTTATTATATAGAAGCTCAGGCAATAGTTGTAGACTAATTTTATTACAGTTATGTACTCAGATTGTACTTTAAAGCTCAGCCTATGCAGAAAGTTCCCATCAGTCTCATGGAGTGTTGTGAAAACCCTCCAGTAGCTCAAACCATTCTTGATGGTCACAATCTGTTAAAGGTATGCTGTCAGACACTGCTGTCCTTCAGGCTGGGGACAGCTAACAAGATCTAAGGCCCGTAGGCTAGTGGGCACCTGCTGTGAGTAGCTTTCTGTGGAGAAGCAGTATCTGAGATGTGATGGTAAGTCCTCTGGCAGTAGCATTATCTGGCTCTGCTAGGTGGTGGAGTGTGGCCCATGAGGCATCTTGTTGTCTGGACATCTGCTTGGGCCACCAGTTGCAGAGCACACAGCATCCATGAGAGGCCTGAAGGAGGTGCTAGAGAAGTTCACCATTGCAGGAAGCTCTGCAGCAGTCCAAATTAAGGCTGGGGTGGAGGGTACAAGGTCTCATTCATCCCTCATCTGTATCTTCACACATATGCATACTTCATCCTTCCAGCGTACTTCATCTTTCCGTGGCTGCCGTGTCCTTGCAGTGGTCTACAATCCAGCTTCGGGCTCGCTGTCACAATGCATGGCCGTTCTGCAAATCAGAGCTTCAACATATGGCTATGAAAAAGTCCAACTGGGCTTAAAATGCATTGCCATTAGCACAAGAAAATACAACATTATATTGTCATGGACAGAAAAGAATAATTACTTTGTATTTTTAAATACAATTTCCAACTATGGTGAAATTCTGAATGGTTTCAAAAAACTTTCTACAGTTTTACATTTTACTTATTTTGATGGAGACTAGAATTTAAAGTGATTATCATCAAAAAGTCCATCACTAAATATTTCAGATATAATACTTGATATAAAAAAGTTCAGTGAATGTTAAACTTTCATAAAAATATGAAGTGATTTTTATGTGGAACTTTATGTACATTTAAATTGAATAATTTCTAATATTTTTCCTATTTTGACTTTTATCATATTTATGTAATACAAAGAAACCATAGTTAAATTTTAAACTAAGTCAAACCACTAAGCTCCAGGGAGCCTTATCATTTTCTCTGTGCCTGACTCTGAGACGTTTTGGGAAGCACCAACCACGAGGGATTTTTAGTGATTTGCACGTGTGTGCAAAGTTTTCTAAAGTGCTTTCAAAACTGCACACGAGGACTTGGCTGGTGACTGGGTGCCATGCAGATCACTCAGCCTCAAAAAATTCAGTCCCTTCCTCCAACTTTAAAATCTTACAACTACAACACCTCATGGTTCCATCAAATGCGGACCATGTGTAATGTTTTACACTGGCCTACACACGAGGCTGGACAAGTGATTTCCAGACAGGCTTATTCCTGCAAGTTTACTTTCCTTGCCAACAGCCTTGCACAAATCGGTCACTCTGGTGTCTTCAACCGTTTTCTCTAGTAAAAGTGCGCTTCCTTATTCCAGCCTGTGCCGCTGGCCAATGGGGCTGGTGTGGAGTAGCCGCCTATCCGGGTCCTGACACCTTTTTCCTTTTCCTCTGGTCCTCTGAGCGACTTGGAGGACCGCCCTCTGCGCCTGGACCTTCAGGCTTTGCTGCGGAAGCCCCCTAGTCGGTCCCAGACTGTGGGTGCGGTCCGCGCGGACAATCTCCTTGTGCCTTCTCTGCAGGTGCCCAGAGCAGGAAGCCGGTGGCCGGTGTCCCCGTAAGGCAGGGCCGGTGCTCCTCGACGTCCTCCCGCTCGCTTCCAGGTTCTGCGCCCTAGAGCCAGGCAGAGACGGAAACATGCCAAGCTCCAGGGGAGCGGTGGCACCTGGGGCAGTTTTCCAGGAGCCCGCAGCCGTCCCGCCCCTCCCCCAGCCTCCGCCGGAGGTGTTTATCTTCGCCTCTGCTCCAGGCTCTTTCTCTTTCACTTTTCTTTTCGCTGGGGGCTGGGACTCCCCGGGTGGAGGGCTCCCGGGAGAATCCCAGTTGACTCACTCGCTGCCTTCCAAGTCCGACGCCCGCAAAGGAACCGGGCTGCCGACCCCCACCCTGCAGCCAGGGCTCCATGGAGGTACAGAGCTTTGCTTCTCCGCTTTGGAAGGGGAGGTGGTGGTGCTAGAAAGGGAGACAGAATTTTCCCCGAAAGCCTACGCCCCGACCCCACCCAGCTACGGCGGCGCTACCCTCGGGTGTCCCCCGACCGGCCGTCGCTCCACCCTCTCCTGGGAAACATTTGACTGCGACTTCAATTTTTGGTTTTTCCCCTAATGACCCTTTATTTCTCCCGTGAGTTCTCCTCGCCATCCTCCTGCTTCCGGAGGAGCGCAGATCGCACATCCCTTTGCCCCCCGCGCGCGGCTCCCCAGTCGCGCCGCGCTCTTTCGCGGTTGCTGGCGGGTGGCGAGCGAAAGGAGGCGCCCGGCACTGCGCGCTCCGCTCGGAGGGCCACCGACCTGCGTCTGGCTGCCCCCGCCGAGCTGCCGGTTTCTGGGAAGACAAAATCCAGCAGCCCCGAGCGCTGAGTTCTGCACCTAATCGAGCTCAAAAAGGTCACAAAAAGGTACCGCAGATCCCCGCTTCCTACCTGCCCCTCCCAAAGTCCCGGCCGGCCGACCGACCGGTGCGTCTGTGTGTTCGCGCGCGTCTGTCTTTCCTTTGATGGGGCAAGTCTTCTTGTAGGAAGAGAAGTTTGCTCGAATGGTCACTGCTTGCAGTCAGGCCTGGGTCTAGCATTAGTTCCAACTCTGCATAAGCCACTCATCCCTTAGAAAAGCAGAAGTGTATCTGAAATGCCAGAACAACATGAAAGGAATGCCGATGAATTGGACTGAAATAAAATTCTCTTTCAAGGTGGCTTTAAGTGGAAATCTAGCTACTTTTTCCCCAGTGTTATTGAGACTGCCTGTTGCAAGAGTATACAATTAATTTGAATGTAATTTATGTAATTGCATGCATTTGAAATTATGTTAGCTTCAAAAGTATGTGTAAACGAAGGTAATTCTGAAATGATGCTTATAACAGGTTCTTAAATGGATGAGTCAGAAGTTTCAAAACTGGAAATAAAGTGATTGTCACTAGCTCTTTTCCATTATATATTTTAAAACTACTTTTTAATGTTACAACACTCACAACGGCCACTACTTGTAAGAGACTGTCATTCTTATCTTGTCAGTATGGTGAAAGAAGCCTTCTTGACTTAATTGAGTTCTTGCGCTAATATTACAGAATAAACAGAAATGATCACTGCATCCTGCCACGTAGAGGCCACAAGGTTTCTGAACCATTCTGCTGAAAGCTCGAGAAATAATGCATGCTGAATTTTAAATTGTTGTTTTCTTAACAAACAGTGTAGTGGGCATGGTAGATGAAGGCAGGGGGTATAAAGGAAGGAACATAAAGATATATAAAGGGAAGGACTGAAGATAAAGCAAGAGCTATTTTCCATGTAAAAAGTGAAGGATTTGGGGGGAGGGGGGGAAATGGGCATTTATTGAAACCTTAAAATCTGTACCCCCATAATATGCCAAAATAAAAAAAAATTAAAAAAAAAAGTGAAGGAAACGCTAAACTTCTGCTTGAAGTGTCAGAAAGTTCTTAAGGTTGGTTATGATTGTGTCTTAATGTTGTGCTTATGTTTCTCGGTTTTCTCTGAAAGTTTTAGTCAGATTCAGAAGGGCCTCTGGTGTAGGATCATCTGCTCTTCAACAGTGACAGAGAGTGGTCAGGTTGGTCACTGGTCAGGAACTTGTGATAGGCAGGGTGTTCCCATACTTTTCTTTTTACTGTTTTTCTGTTGATTTGAAGTGACGACTCTAGAACCTGATTTGAAGCTGTAGTTCTGGTTGGAATTTTCCTGCAGATTACTGGTGCGTTGAATAATATGAAGTGTTTTGTTTTAATCTGTGCAATTAATATAATAAATGTCATCAGCTATATTGCAGGACACAATGTTTGTCGATGAAATATATGTTTATATACTTTGGGGGGATAGAGAAAAACAATGTTTTAAAGTTTATTGAATATTGAAGACTTTAACCCTTAATAGTTTCTCCATCTCAGATTTGCTGCCTCTGATGGAGTTCAGGAAATCTGTAAAAGGAACCCTGAAATGCTATACATATGTGGATTTTTCTGAGGAAGATATCAATGACTCCAATCAGCTTTTTAAATGGGTCTCTGACCCAAAACAATTTTAAAACTTAGAAGACTGTCCTTTTTTTCTCATCTCCCCTGGAGTTACTGCGAAGTTTTGTTTGTTCTATAACCATTCTTTGGAAGTTTAATTAATGATAATACAGAGAGTATTGTCATCAGACCCACAACTTGAATTATGAGAAATAACATGAATGATAGTTAACACTATTGAGTTCTTATTATGTACCAGACATTGTTCTAAGTATACATGAAAAAAATCATCATATTAAACTTATGTGGTAGGGACCATATTTTATAGCTGAGGAAATTGAAATATAGAGTATATCTTTCCCAAGTTCATGTAGGTAAGAAGTGGAAGAGTTGGAACTCCAACCCAGACAGGTATAAGATTGCTAGTATTTATGAAGGATGATATTATTTTCATAAAAAGTATTTCCTGCAATTTGACAGTGATAATCACTATTTCTTTTAGAAGCTGTGTTATAATGATGTTATAAGGATCTTGGTTTTAAAGTAATGTTTGTATGGTAGTTGTATAATTGATATTATTAATTATATTTAAAGATTATCTTTATAATCAAATAATATCATATGAGTATATATTAAAATATGTGTTTGGTTCTTTGGAGAAATTTCTTTTATGGTCCTTGAATGAAATATTTGTCTAATTTGTATCAGTTTCTGCTGATGGAACTTGACAAATAGTAGACAAATGTGCATTAATCTATGTCGCTGGCTATCTGTCTATTCATCCATCCAAGTAGAAGGCTAGGCTTCATGGAGAGATTAGAGCAGAAGACTTTCCCATAATATCACAACTGGAGGTGGTGTAGTTAACTATTTGGGAAATAGGAGTAGCTAAAGAGTTTTGACAGAGAGACTAAAGTACAAAGTATTGTTATTAAAAGCGTCATTCTAGTAGGAACCTCATGTGAATTTTAAAGTTACAAAAAGGAAGCCTCTGTGATGTTTCAGGCACCAAACTGGCATTTTATGACCTCATTGAATTGTAATAACCCTCTATTTTTATTCTTACTTTACAAAAGGAAGAAAGGAAGGAAAGAAAGAAAGGAAAAAAAGAAAAGAAAAAAGCTAATTGGATGAGGACACAGCTAGTAAAACACTTCATTGAGATTTATCTTGATTCCAAACTTAATGCTCATTATTTGAATATATGCTTTCTCTTCTAGCAAAAGTCAGGTGTTCAGTATAATGAAAAATAAAATGCCCATATCTTCACCTTCAAATAGATGTTGGCCATTATTGGGGTAATTTAATGCTATTTATTACTTTGCCGTATGTCAAAGAACATTCTCCCTTTTTTTAAAGTTGTTTAGTGTGAGAATCAGAAATAGGAAATAAGAGGATCTTTGATCTCAATTCAGTTCAAAAATATTATTTGTACACATTTTACATCTGGAGGCAGGCTATTTGTATGCATATATTTTATAGTGTTTTATCCCACATCTGGGGCAGAGAACTCTATATAGACCACGTAAAATGGACAAAAAAAAAAAAAAAAGTCTGAATGCAAATGCAATACATAGTTGATTCTTCTCCAAATGATTCTTCCACATGCTGACAGGATGCACACAAGATCAGGAAAATGACAAATTATTTTGTCAAATGAAGGAATTGAAACTGAAAATCGTCCTAGAAGAGGAAGATAGGATGGTTGTAAGGTCGATGGGGGAGAAGCTCTACTTATCATTGTAACATGCAAAAAGAGTGTCTTAGATTCCTTATGTCACCGAATTATAAATCTCCTTGCTGGATATTTTGCTCATGTACCTCTTAATTGCAATTTGAGAAACAAAGTTTCTTGTACACTGTTAGCAGTGAGCTCTAAAATTTTCAAATAATTATTCCTTAATTGAATATCTCACAGAGATTTTGTAATATATTTTCCAATTTCTTCGCTCTCTTTACTCATCTGGAATAAAAATAAGTATGCAAGTTGAAATTTAAGTTTTAATTAAAGGATTTTGTTGTTAAAAATTATTCTTGGTTATTTTATTTTAAATATTATCAGTATTAATACTGATATTATGTATAATATGTATCAATATACATATAGAAAATATTATTAATATTAATCAAAAGAACTCATTAACTTTCGGTAAGTAATTCTTAGGCATAAAGCTAAAATTATATTGGAAATAGATATCATAGAAGTGGATATGGTAGATATCAATGCTTTGATTAAAGAAGATTCCTCTTATATCAGCTTTTCAAATTGCCCCTTTATTTGGCACCCTGGCAAGGCAAGGTACACGATAAGATTCTGGATAGGGAGAAATAAGCTTTTCTTTTCTGAAACGGGAGAAGGGTAGTTATGAAAGGGGAAGTGAGAAAGGAAACTTACTGCAAATCTTCTTGCCTTGGGCATGTATCAGGCATCTCACTTATTAAAAGAGGTTCCTGTGGGGGGAAAGGGGTGGGAAAGGCAACACACATAACCTAAACGTTTGTACCACCATAATATGCTGAAATTAAAAAAAAAAAGAAGTTCCTAACGAAGCAGTAGATTTTGAAATTGGTTCTTTTAGAACTCTTAGCAACCCTGCATCCCTTGGAAAGTTATAGGGTACACCAGAGATGCAGGATCTTTTCAACCTTATCCCTTCAGCTCTCCCCTTGGCTTACCATGGCTTACTGTGCTTAAAGCAAAGTAGAGGTGTGGGATCAGAGCAGTAAAGAATCTAGTCTGGCTGCTGTCTAGGCATCCCACTGGGCAGTAGTGGGAAATAGATTCTAATGGGGCTTGGATAGCCTCTGCAGCCTAATCTGGTCTTCGAGTGGCAGCTCCAGTCACACTGCCTCTGCGTTCCAGACACACTTGCCCATTCCTTGTCCTTCCTTGTCAGCCTTCATGGTCCTGCTCAAAATGCCGACGCTTTATAGCCTTTGCTATCTGCATCTCCTGGCCAGGCAGAATTATTTTCTCCCTTACATGAATTCATTTGGTTCCATTTGCATTCTCCTGTAATTTTAGCTTTTATGTCTGTAAATTCATTTTGTCGTATTTCTGACTTTACACTTGCATTTTGAGTGAAGGCAAGACAGTGTGTGCCACGTGCCTAGCACAGGGCTGGTCACGTAGTGGGTTCGTATTGACTTCAGGGAGAGGCAATCATATCACTCAAAAATTTGACAGCGAAGTAGATAGGAGACATAAACAATGTAGCAAAAACAACATTGGCATGATGTAATAAAAACAGTGTTTTAGGAAAATTAGTTTGGGTGGGATTTATGGAAGAAAAGATGAATGAGATATAAGGCATCCAGCTAGAAATCCATCACAGTTAATTCAGAAATGTAGTTTCATTCCCATTATCTGCTCAAGGACAGAGCTTTAGTAATTCTTGTTTTCTCTCCATCAACATTGTTTTTCTTTGTCCCTAA